GAGCTGCAGGAATTGATAGAATATAATTACGTGCAATTAAAAAGTCTGAAATAATTGGAGTGCGTCTACAGAATTTGTAAACTAAGAATTTGTAAATCTGTGCAGTAGTATGACAGAAAGTGAAATTCCTGGATAGAAAGAAATCGAGTTTCCAATATTTAAGAAAGGCTGTTGCCCAAATTCAAACAATCACCGTGAAATGAGCCTACTATCCGTTCCGCTAAGGTGTTCATGCTTGTTATGATGAACATAATTAGATATATCCTGAGAAGATCTCAGACAAACGCTGACCTGATTAAGGACAGACAGATTGGATTTAGACCAGAAATTGACAGTGAGGTAGAGAGAAATGGGGATCAAAATTCTTTGCGATCTTGGTCGATTTCATGAAGGCATTTGACTTGATCTGGAGAGGACTTTTAGAAAGTTGGGGAACAATATGGAACCCAGGCAAAGATTAGTCATATAATTAAAACGATGTTTGACCTACCGTTAAGATGGCAGTTTCTGCAAATTCTTTTATAAAACGTTCGAAATAAAGTTACGAGAGGTGAAGTCTCTTCTGATGTTTTTTGACTGGGTGCTTCAACCATTACGAAAGAGCAAACAAGAGGAAGCAAGATCTGTCTGCATAACCTCGCTTGCATTTGAAAATGATACCGTATTGCTCTTAAGCAACTTCGAAGCCGGGAAATCACTGTTGATAACCCTGAAACATAGATGTTGTAATCTAGGTCTCGCGGTTAACTTAGACGATGTGGACGGAAATTGGTAGAAATCAAACCAGGGGCTGTCTGGCCCTTGACACAGAAGTTCTGGAAAAGTATCAGAGTCCATGATATCCTCCACAAACTAAGTTATGAGGCGCTGTGCGTTGGCACTGCTTGAGAAGAACAAGTTATTTAAGCTCCAAACGAAGGAAAATATTGGCACTAGCATCAAACTGCTGAAAAACAGACTTACATTCTGGACATCTTTCTCCATGGCCTGAAGACGGCAGAACTCACAAAAGCTGAAAACAGGAAACTGGGTGCAAAGGAAACAAAGGTGAAGCGGTGAGATTTGGTGTCATCAAGTGTAATTGTAGGAGATTAGAATATCCAGGTAAAATATCTGATTGGCTGCAAACTGGACGTTTAGGATGGCGGAGTCATTGCCTATGAATGGAGGCTAGCTGATTAGCGACATTAATACGGAACGAAAAGCCGGTGATACACAATGGCAGGCGACCGCAAGGAACAGTTCCAACGTGAAGGGGAGATCATGTTAGAACCGACATGACATTGAAAGGACTGAAGAATGAGCGCACATTCAATGGTGAGGGACAGCCGATGCATTCGGATAAGAAAAAGAACGTTGTAAACAATGTAGTGAAGTACTTCACAAAATTTCTCTTCGAAACCAGAGAAACAATAAACAGGTTTGCAACCGAACAGACAGCCATTTGCATAAACAGTGAAGTTAGAGTACCCCTCAATGTTAGTGTGTACTCCAGTTGTACATCCTAATTATTTACTTTATTGACATTCTCTTAATTTCCGCCATTTGTTGTCGTGTTTTGCAGAGGACCCGCTAAACCGACCCTTAATATATTGAATCTGAAGCTTAATCTAAGAACACTCTCGGCATATCTCGATGAACAGATGAAGAGCACTGATTACGGGTTCTGGTCTCAGACCACCGTCGAGAGACTGACATGCGGTGCCGTTTGCTTGTCCATCTAATTGGCATCTTCCTCGTCGGAACTAATTGTCAGATTGATCATGTTTTATACGCCTGCTAAATGGTCAAAGCAACGACAATGACAGCGTCGTTGTTCACTAAGCTTCGCTTGTTTACCAACGTGTAACGGGACAAGTAGAAGATTTTGATGAGATCATCGTCAGCAACTTTTGGATTGAACTAAAGTATATCATTTTGCAACAGTGCGTAGCTCCAATGAGCAGACGTAAAGGCAAACTACTTAATTAAGATACTTTTTTGGGAGGTAACAGCTTCCAAGGGTCTGAGTCAAACGGCACATCTCCGCCTTCTAAATTCTACCGCGTTATAAACAAATGCAAGGTTCAAAAACTATAGAAATATTTGCTTTTATGTCTTAATGCATTTCATTGATTAAGGATTTGATATTTGGAGCTTCGGCACTGGATGTTACGTGTGATACGTGCTGCTTGCTCATATCTTAATACATATTCTGAGCTTATTCCTCGATGGACGTAATTTTCAAAATAAGTCTTTTTAATCGATTACCTCTCTCCACCTCCTTCGTTCGATACTTTTCGCTATGGGTGCACCACGAACACAAGTTCGGCGCTCCTCCAATCATGGTCCATTCCTTGCTCTCTGCCTCCGCCTGGCTAAGCAATTTTAGTATCGAAATAAGTCAAGTCCCGTTGGTCACGGCGTTGTACAGTAGAATGGCGCAGTAGTCAGTCTTGATCTATTTTACCGCTTTTCCTCATTTCTTTAAAGCTTCTGGCGAGCAGTTGTTGCATAATCTATTTGGAGTGCCAAACAGCTTTAGCTGCTGTCAGCGTCTGTACAACCCTCATGCAAACTTACGGAGTTAGGGAAGTAAAGATTTTATTCAACGCGCGCATCTTTATTGCCGAGTGACACGGAACCCCAATTTTAGCTTAATGGAACAGCAGGCTCGGCACTATTTCCAGGCTACTGCTTCAGTGCTGAAAAGTTTTCTCTTGCTTATCGTCCCATCGAAAAACGGTGCTAGTGATACACAGTGACTGATCACCGTTTAAAGCAACATGCTGTTCGGTTATGTTCAGAATTCACAGTCTTGAATACTACAAGTGTAACAATTCCAAATTGAATTATTTTCTCCAGTTGTCTTCAAAGAAAGCGCCCATTTCCGAGTCCACTATTCCTTCGATCGTTTTGACATCAGTTACAGATGGGTTTTTGTATAGTTCCGGTCCTTGATCAGTCGCACAAACACTCTACCGTATGACTATGCCAGGTGTCTCACGTACCTGAATCATCTGACTCCCAGGTTTGCCTCTTACTCGCGTGCTTTGGGCTTTGTGAACAGAACTCGGTTTGGTTTTGTTGGCTCTAAATAAGACATTCTGAAAAGCCTTTTCCAGTCTGGAACAGTAATCGGTTGGCACCTGTAGCGGATAGCGAATTTCCGACTGATTGGATTACGCGGCAGCTTAGTCAGCTGCCATAGAATGAGATTGCAGTGTGCTTTTTGAACGAACCCATTTGCCATTTGTTCGAAGCCAAAATTCATTTGTTACGGAACGGAAAGAACCATGTCACATGATCATTCATAAGTGCACGAATCATGGTGCCATCATGAATAGGATGTCATCTGTTTTATCTCTGTCCTTTAGTCAGTCTCATAAGAGAGGTTCTGCGAAAAGCGAATTTCGATGCTCTAGCCGGTAATGCCTTCAAGATGACGAAGACACGCCAGACCCTCAGCGTTTAAAAATAACATTCTAAGAAAGGAAGTCATTAAGAAATCGTTCTGGAATGAAAACTATTATTATCAGTTAAAATATTATAATAAATAATCATGTTCATAGTGGACTGCAAAAGTATGGACACAACTATGGTCTGAAGGAAATGAAACGAATATTTGTAACCGTTGATATTTCAGCCTTTGTTGCATTTTCATTCCATGTCGCTTTGGAAATATCCCTCCTTCTGACGCTTCTGACATTTCGCCGCTGAGCTCTGTTTCGATGCCAATTTACAACAACAAGAACAAA